TTGGAAGGGGCTAGCTCTGAGCATTCTTCTTGTGTTGAGTCGCACTGGAGTGTTTACTTACGTAGATTTGGGTCAGGGTACTTGGAACCTCTGAACAAAGTTCAAGGGTTAAGTAGATCAATAGTATTTTCCAACATCCTGCCTTCTTCAGTGTAAGCATAGTCGTGGATCTCATGCAACTAGATGCCACTCGATTGACGGTTCGGCAGTCTTTAGGTAGGTCTGCCGGAGGAACATTGCTAACTAGATGCGCTGACACAAGGCCGTTAAGGATTAAGTAAGGGAAGAAATGCATGTAGGAGTTATTTTGCCTTGACAGCTAAGAAGAGTAATTGTGCCACAGGTAGATAAGGTAAAGGAAAGAATGCCACGAGGAGAGGGGACCCATTGGGCTGTTTAGCCACCCTTGACCGAGGACTATCCTTCGCAGGAAGTACACCGACTTGGTCTCAAGTGAGACAGTTCGCACTCGTTGCGACAGCATCGCGGGGATAGTTTAGGTTTTCCATAAAAGACGATTGAGGTGGTTTGGATACGTTCTTCGCCCTCTTCCCCAGGAACTCAGTGCCACCGACCTCTATCTCGCGCCGTTGCCAACCTGGAGGTGCCGAAGGGGAGGTCAACTCAAAACCTGGCTCGACATAGTTGGTCAAGCCACGGAAGGTGTTCTTGGACCTTTGATATTCAGTTTCCGTCGCTGGAGGAAAGAACTGGTGGAACTGATCTGGTCCGCTGCTGCAGATCGTCGCGCGCAAAGAGGTACAATCCGTGATATCGAAGACCGCGATCATACCTCACCCCAACACTGCACCCAGCCTCAAGTAGTGATGCCCCCTCCACTTACTGGCGACAGCTCACCTCCGGTTCGCCGCACGCGATCTGATCGCCAGTTTTACTGACCCGACAGGTTTGTGGCTGGCTAGCATGTTGACGCCTTCACTCCATTTTGTGTATGGGGGACGGAGAGTTGTAGCAGTCGCTCCAGTGCCCCCCTTCTCGGGCTTCATTTTGTCGGTCAATAGCCGTCACGACCGTTGACAGGCCGTTGACACACGGCCACCCACGCCGGCTAGAAATGAGGCGCCTCCTGTCCAGCTGCGGTGTGTACCGGCCGGCCTCACGAACTTTCATCACCTCATGCACGTCGGACGCCCTGGCTTGATACACGTGAGCCCTTGTGGGCATGCGTCCCCTTTTCCTCCCCTGATTCGTCCAATCACATGACCAGCACACAGCCAGTCACCCTCTTCTCCTGACACACACACATGCCTCCCGCGTAAACAATACACTGCTCTGTGTACAGAATAAACCTGTTCTCACGACTCCCTGACTCCTGCAATAAGACGGAAAGAAATTATGTTGTGCAGTTACAGATGCTCTTACATCCTTGATTGCCACACATCATGGAGGCCGGCTACATCAGACCTGATCAGAACTACACCAATTACAGGTTAAAGTGTCTATCAAGTCTTTACGGACGAGCATTTTCTATGAATATATCGTTAAAAATGTTTAGACAGGGACTCCATAGCACAATACCTTCCACTGGGTGTTCAGTAGGAAGGCTGCATCAGTCCAGAGTTCCGAATATGTTCCAGTTATCTTGCACACCTTTAGATGAGAAAGTAATTATGCCTCCGGTGGCTAAAATGAATTTCGCTTTGGCCTCTTAACAAAAGAGTACATATTCTGCTCACGACGGCTTCTCCCTCGGGAGAATAGCGGGAGTAGAATTGATCTTAAATTTCGTCTCCTACCAAAAGATAATCAGCGAATGAGTCTAATTCGCCGTTTGGACTAGGCAGCTTTGTCCGTCTACAATTTCAAAGGCACCGCCTGCATGCTCACCAGAGAATTTCAACCGGTCCGTATGTTCAACCATCCAGAAGGTATCTTCTTTCCCCATTAAAAAATTTGAAAGTCGGCACGAGTAGCCCACCAAACGGCAAGGTTCGGGAACGCAGTCCCGCAGGGAAATGGAAAAGTTCAGGCACATCCAATAAGTGAAACATGCAGGGTTGGGCTGCAGAAAAGCAGTAGTGGATGCGCGAAAACTAAAGGAAAGACGCAACTGTTATAAGTAAATATGACAGTTTATTTTATTGGGTGCTTAAATCTCAGCGTAAATAGTGTGCAGTACAAAAATTCACCAAAGGTAACTAGTGAAAATAAGTCCGCAAAGGTTAAGGTTGATTGGCCCGCCAAGGTCATCGAAACGGAACCGCCCACGAATCTGACCAATCAGACATAAGCCGTAGACAAGAGGTGTAAGAAGTGGGTGCCGAATAACTTACTCCTCAACCCTAACTCCTAACCCTACAACGTAACTCCAACCCCAATCCCTAACCCTAAACCTGAACCCTAAAGCCCGAACCCTTTTCCTAACCGTAAAATCCGAACCCCAACGTAGTTGAGAATCATACTTGCATCAGCCCGCGAAGCACCTCAAATTTAAAGAATCTGCAAGAATTACTACATCTGCCGACATAAATAATAATATGAAAGTGTTAAATGCTGACCACCTACGAAAGTGATAATTCGTTGACCAAGCAGGACTACGCTCTCGAGCCCCACCGACTAAAAGCTCGTGGAGTTCTTCACAAACTATCACTTGTCTCACATGACAAATCCCCTGTAATTACCAGAAAATATGAATTACTGTGGCAACCGTTCAATTCTAACTTGTCATTTAATATTAACAAGTCGTTAAGGCAGGGGAAAAGGAACCAACTCCGTAACACACATAGCATTGTGCTAAATTCCAGAGGTGATACCTATTCTCGTGTCCTAGCCCGAACGTACCTTAATCCTAACCCTAACCTTAATCCAAATGTTAGCCTCAACTCACTGCTTAGAGGAAGAGCATTCGAGGTGAACCAGGGCATTAGTGGCTTGATTTGGTTTGACGAGACTTGTTTTTTTTGTGAATTCCCAGTACTCATGGTGCATCTCAATTAGGCACATGCTTAAACAATTTTCAGGAAATAGGAGGACTACAAAGGTACTAACACATTTGCAGATACTTGGCATTCTGGAATTTCACTCGTGATCTTATCTGCTATTTCCGATCAACTATTTCCCTAGCCAGCCATTCGCGGACGCGGTTGTAAGTATTTTCATTGGCTTTTTCCTTTTAGTCAGCCGTGTTGCGCCTTCCTGTTATTGACTGTTGTTCTCCATTTTGCCTACTTCTTTTTCTGACACGTTATTTTGTTTTTTTCTCCAATTTGTTGCTGCAGACCTGCAGAAACAGTTTTTTGTTGCTGCAACAACAAGCCAGTCTTGACCAGCCTACGTGAACACGAAAGACTGGAGGTTACCCAGTTAGCTTTACTACCACGTTAAGAGCTGCCTCAGATCGCGTGCAGCGGAAAATGCGGTGATTTCCGAAAAGAAGACAGATGCAGTCTTTTATACTGTCCGCAATCGTGGGCGCGGGTGCGCAGATCGGATGACGGCGAGTGGGTGTGTGGTACACACTGATGCCCTGGAAAAGCGACTCTTCTGCCGATCAGGGGCTTGTACTCTTCGTGCGGAAGACTCGTGGAAACCAAGATAGTAGACATAGCCTAACTACAAGGTCAGTCGGCGCGAACAGGCAACGTTGGCTGCCCGCCAACGGCATGCGCCAGTCAACCCAGACCGGGTGACGATCTCGTGAAGGTGCATGTTACCATCAGCGGTAGAAAGTAGCTTGATCACTCGACTAACAACCCTGATTGGCTGTTCCGAATCGATGAGCCCATGTCGTACGAGGTATCGTCATGTGGATGCCAGCCACAGACGGAAGGCTGAAGTGGGATTAGGACCTATATAATTACAAAGTACAACTGCCTTCGATCATAAATGATAAAAAACCGCGCGTATTAAACCGAGTGACCAGTCTGTATGGACTGTAGAGCCCCAAAAATAGGTTCGGCTGCGGAGAATGACCTAATACAGGTTAAGCAAGAAGGGGGGAATGTGAGGCAGAAGAATTACTTGGTGCAAACATTCCCCCTCCCACGCATGGCTGACTTCCGTCCCGCGTGATGAATTTTAATCGCGCCTGTCAATTTTTCACCGTAATGTAAAATTGCTTGCTTAGATAACTTTCCTCCCCCTCTGTCCACCTCGCCATGCGTACCCGTATATCAGACCAACAATCTATGTTTTATTTACTTATCATGTTTCATCCCACTAGGCGGATCTCTGATTGAACAGTTTATCTTATCTTAAAAATACGCAATTACCGTGTGCAGTCGACTAAAAGGTCAAGAAATTTAATGACGTCAATAAATTCTGCATGCTTCGTCGCCTTTGCCTCGTCCGATGCAAACGATCACGTTCACGTCAAACTCCAATAGTTTTGATCTTTTCCTGGGAATTGTTAGAACTGGGTGGAGTTGATGTTGCTCGAGTTTCCTCTCTTTAGTGTATTCGATGTGTCCACATGCTGACTTTTACCCGGTCCTCGCCGTTTCTTCGTCCTATCTAGAAGAAGATGCCTAGAAGCCAACGAAAAGCTTATCGCAACTACAAAACCGTGGAGAAACACGCTTGTAAGCTGGTTTGATATAATACTATAGATGATTAGTCAGCAGCGTTCAACGCACCCTGTACCTCTATCCCTCACTCACTCCTGTCCATCTAGCTCTCAATCCGTCTGTCGCAACCACACTATCGAGTGCACTTGTTCCGCCTTTGAGGAGCGCTGATTCACTTCGAATTTGCGATTCCACAGATGTGCCCAATGTCTTGCAGTCAGAGTAACTCCAGGAAAGATTTTGCAAGTGGCATCTATGTATTGCGTTCATTATAATATGTACAGAAGGGACTGAAAAGAACGCTAATACGTGTTTATAAATTCCGCCACGAAAGAAACAAGTCACTGGAAATCCTTAGGTAGGGGTGCGTAGATTTCCCGGGAGACCTGCACCGAATATATGTATACGGATCGCCACTGCACGTGAGGTAAGTTCTACGTAGACTCTCCACGAATTTCTGTTGTGTACCAGCACTTATTCAAAGCGAGAGGGAATGGCTGGCTGCTTGTTTCCAGGGCGATAATACTGCGTAGAATTGGAAACGTTGTTGTTTGAGGCGAGCGCCTTGGCTATTTCATCGAAGGTCTTGTTCTTTGTTTCAGGCATGAAAATAAAGAAGAACATCCAGCAGACGACAACCACTGCAAAGAAGGGCAGGTAGACGTAGCCCTTCATTGTTTTCTGTAAAGAAAACGAAGAAGCATTCGGTAGGTGCATAGTCAAAAAACTGCAGAACGAATTATTCGAGGACAGTGCGGAGATCTCGCCCCACCTTAGGCGACTCAGACAAGGGACCTGGGAGAGAGCTGCCCTTGATGGGAGCCAAAGGTTTATATCTGAAATTATAGTTTTCTCGGCAATGCATGCAAAGCAGTCAACAATTCGCTTATGGCAAAGTTATGTCAGTTTCTTACTTTTAAAACTGAACCTAGCCAGATATGATAGCGGACGGGAGCTCCAACTTGCAACCAAGCGGAAGCACCTTCGTAAACCCTGAGATGTACGGGGCAGAGAGACGATGTCAGCCGGCTCTAGGCGTACTACCGTTGGTCAGGGAGAAGAGATTGTGAACGGGAGGACAGATAACCTTAAATCATTTACAGGGCCAACCATTTTCGGTTTTGGAAAGGAAGATTCAGCTTTCTGGATGTCTTAAAACATGCCCATGAAGATGAAAAAAGTATACAGATCCAACAACTTAAAGGAGAGGCGAGAAAACGGAAATAAAAATAACGAAAAGCCAATGAAAGAACTCACGTTCAAGACGGGAAATGTGAGGAGAACCATAAGGTTGCAAAGCCACTGGACGCTCTGGCTGAGAGAGTAGGCAGCTGTTCGCGGTCCCTGACGGAAGAGCTCGGCAACAATCAGAGCTGGAATTGGTCCCAGTCCGACAGCGAAGCAGGCAATGTAGACAAAGAGGAGGACAACGCAGCCGACTGCATAGGGCTCCTTCTGGTTATCCGGCTTGCTGTCCAGAATGCACACCATTACGGTCAACAAAAGCAGCGTTACGCCCAGTACGAATGTTGGCCAGAGCAGCAGTGTTCGACGGCCTGCACGCTCGAGCAGTGGAAGAGCGACAATTGTGCAGATCACGTTGAGCACGCCGATGGCCACGACGAAGTACTGGATCTGTTCCTCCTGCACACTTGCACTTTTGAGCATAGTAGACGAGTTGGCAACGACCTGGAAGGAGGGGTAGAAGTTGATGTTTACCTTTCCTCTGAGGTTGATGGAAATATCGTGTTATTAAATCTTTACCGTTGGAACAAGTCCAATATAAAGTAGTTTCCTTCGATTGCCTATCTAATTTTTGAGGGGTGTAAAACGAATCTAACCTCTGGTTTGGGTCTGCTGTCTCAAAATTTCAGAAATCGAAGAAATGCTTTTTACAGGGCGTTCTTTCGTGGTGAAGACAGGGAGGAAGTACCGAGCAAATTGGAAGTGTCTACAGTCAGATGTGGTCATGTAGCCGCACCTGAGGCAAACAAACCCCAGCCACCTGTTATATGGGACAGATGGTAATAGGGGTTTTTACAGGTGGGGCCGGGGGACGCACAGGCGACGAGGTCAAATATTTAAATGCAAAAGGAAAGCTATTGGGAATGCGCGGTTGTACTTTGAGTGGCTGAGGAATAGTTACCATAACCCCTAACCATAACCCCTAACTCTGGTCCCTGACCCTAACCCTGAAATGTCGAACGCGAAAGCCAGAAGGAGAAGACAGACCGAAAGTCAAGAAGGACCACCGGCTTTGATCCGAAAAAGGTCGACACGGCAACAAAGAAACAAGGCCGACAACAGAACACACACTGCAACGCACATCAACATCATGCCAACTGAATCACACCAACTCAGAATAAATAAGCAGGTTAACAGTATTGTGTCCGTCAGGTGCGGCTACAGAACCACATCTTACCGCGTCTACTCAGCATTTCCCTCCTCGAAGATGTGAGAACACAACAGGGCAAGTAGTTTAAATGTGGGATTTAGCCTATCAGATCCGCCTCTTGTCTCCGCGGGTGGCCGCCCTGAGAGACCTCACAGTCGCCAATGATGAGACTAGCTGGTATCCCTTAATCTAGGAGCATAGGACGCGATAAGTGCGGGGTAGCTCCATGTATCGATCAGCTGGATCCTGGTCACATCGCATGTTATAGTAGAGTCAACTTCCTCATTTATTATTGTAAATGCGGATTAGAAGGGGTGATTTCAATCTGTCCCTCCAAATACCCAAAAGAAATAATGGATGCCCCCATCGAAATGTCATTGGTCAACAGACACATAAGTCTCGCCCCCTTCTAGCCTGCTGGACTGATGCAATCAGGGTCAAGGAAGCAGACCAGTGAAGGACTGGTGACAACTGCCAAGGCAACCGCGGGGATTTACCTGGACTCGAGACGAAACCGACTGGAGTTTTTCCACATTTGAACAGACTCGTTATTAAGAACTCAAAAAGTCCGACGGCTTAGTTTTCGATTCTTCCCCCCCCCCCCTTCACCAAAATCTCTGTTGTCCTCTCTATGGCTTTTAATAATTGCGTTCTTTTTTCAAAGAACGAAGACCTGATGGCCGTTGTGATGTGGCATGAGGACCAAAGAGCGGTATTGCAATGCTTCCTTTCACCTATTCCACAGCACATGAAAACGGCAAGTCTACCTCCAATTGTCAAGGTCTTGTTAAGGAAATTTAATGATGGGTCATTAGCCCAAGAAGGCAACGGCCGCTGTGCAGGTGTCAACCAAGCATTCCGAGTTATTTATAAAGTGTCAGTGGGATACGCCAAGTTCCCAAGCCAACTGACGCTTGAGATGGCAGAAGCAGTGGCCATACGGTTAGCCAACCCAGCCTTGTGCTCTCAGAATGCGTCTATAATAACCCTCAAGCTCCCCTGGTCCAAGATGAGGTCAAAATGTTCGTTCCCGAATACCGTCTTGTCGCGCGGCAGCTATGAAACCGGAGCGTAGTTCCTCGTCAGACTCCTTTCCATTTTCCCTCTGCCGAACCCCCTGACAAAAATACTTTATAATTACCCCCCACATGCCTGACAGTCCCCAACACTCACCTCCATAACTACTGTTCAATGGGTGTCTTAACTATGGTTGCTTTACCCTAACTTACTTCTATTACTTTACAGACCTGGCACTGATCAATAAAAAGTATACGTCCACTGAAATAGACTTTTTCAAAATCAATAAACCCGAGCAGAAGAAGACTACGATAGTATAAAAACTCTTACAGCATTGATTCCCGAGAGCTGTTGCAGAACCTGAATCAGCACTGCGATGGCGACAGGCAATCGGAGATCTGGCTGCTTAAAAAGTTGCATAAATTTGAATTCTGGTTGTTTTTTCGCGGCCTCCGCTTCCTCACGCATTTCCGCAGTAAACATATCCACACCTTCAGGACTTAGACGGGCATAGGCGTTTTTGGCATCCTCTTCTCGTTGTTTAATGAGATAGAGGTAGCGTGGGCTCTCAGGGCACATGGGGAGGAGGAAACAGGAGAGGGCTGGTGGAATGGCTCCGATACCAATGGCAAGCGGCCACAGCTCAGCCGTGTTGAAGGCTTGTTTGATGGTTGCACAGTAGGAAATAACGATGCCCATTGTGACGGCCAGTTGATGGCAGGCCCCGATGAAACCTCGAAGATTGAGAGGAGCTATTTCGGTCAGGTAGAGTGAGGCCACACCAATGGTGATACCGCTGTTGAGACCGCTCAAGAAACGGCCACCAAAAAGCAGGTTGGGTTGTTTTGTCTTTACGCACGGAGCACACATTAGTGCACCGATTATACCGATTATATTGTTCAGCATTAAACTGTTACGCCTAGTAAAAAAGCGGGAACATAAAAAAATTAGTACGAACCACTTTTTAATGAACGAACGAATTCCTTTCAAAGAAGGACCATTCAGTTAGACGATAGAAGCTTACAGTAATGTGACGGTTTAAAAAGATTATAATAAAAACAGGGCGATATCATACGCGGATTTATGGCATGGAGGTCTGACATGTGCATAAACCAATAAACAGAATCAGATCTCGTTTTCGAGAGACGCAAAGGTCCGCGGGCTACCACTGCATGTCGATTCAACGTAAACTCTAAATTCATTCTCTAAGAGGGGCTGGAATGGAACCCGTGATGGGAACAGTTATGTTGTTCACTGCAGAAAGCTCTGGTTGAGAAAAAAAGCATGAGTTTCTGGATTTGACAGCCCCAAAAATCCGGAATTAACTACTGAGTATCCTTACAAAATACCATTTGTAGCGTCGAAATAGCGAGTTTTCTTGGCAGTCATGCACTCGCTGTTTCCTTCAAGTCGGTTAGTTCCAAGTCAGTTTATTAAGGAAACGATACTTCTGCCCTTGAGCTTCCTATTCATGTCGCCAAAAAGAATCAATTGTCACATCAGTAATTCTGTAAATTTAAAAGTTGCCGGTGTGTGTGCGCAAACTGCCCCCATTGACATAATCGTGATTATATGTACAGTAGTTTCTCAGCAAATGAGCGTCTAGTTTGCGTTTAAATGACTCAACAGTTTCGGAATCATTTAAATGCTCAAGTTGAAAGCCGTCTGTCCTAACAGATCCAGAGAGTTGACTGTTGAAAGCACTGAAGTGACATGACAACCACATTATACATGACTTCAAGTCAATATTCAGGCATTCTCAGTCAGAGACAAATATCAGTCCCCAGAGTACAAACTTTCCTCAAGTTGCTTAGAGTGAAGCTTTAGCAATTGTCCCTTGGAGGTAACGTTGGTTGATGTATTTTTGTGGTCGCAAGTTCTCAAGCCTCATCGAACCCACACGATCCTGTAAATGCCGGTGGCATGCAATTGGGTAGCATCCACTAATTACTCAGATGAGCACAAAACCAGCAGTTGTCTACACTACTCCAACCGATTCCTGCACAAGGCTGTTTTCTGCTACGATTAGAGACCGAGCCTTTCAACTTCTACTGAAGGGACCGGTCCTACACAGGCAGTAAGGGGTAAATAGCCTTAAAGACCGGTCATAGTAGTCTTCGTTGAAATTGCTGACAGTGAAAAAGTGCGATGCGTGAAGTACATACCATGAACAAATCATCCGGCAGCACGTCCTCACCGTACCTCACATTGCTACTGAATACGCATTTAAAGTGGATCTCAATGAATATCTGAGAGAAGCTATAGCAGGTCCTTGCTAACTCAGATTCGCAGCCATGTCTATGGATGTCTAAGGTTTCGACAGACCACATACATACTGACATGCCTTCATTTTCAGCCGACTACTCACTTCTATTTCAAATTGTTTCACCTTTTGCAAATTGTCTTGGCGGCCAAAGTGATTTATTCTCTCAGCTAAAACCAGCTCGAATGCGAAGGATTAGCTAGGAGAGATGATATTCTAACATCTGCGGGCAGTTTTGGTAGGAAATAAAACCTCTTTAAGACGACCGTTACTTCTAGCCTGATAGAACAATCGGCCGCGAACGTGACTTAGTCAGCTAAAGCCGGCAGTTTTAAATGCGGGCGAATACAGCCACAGGGACCGGCGCCAGTGCGTTGACGTCGGAAATGCTGGCACGTAGCAGTGCCCAAAACAGGCATGACTGGATTGCGCAATAATGAAGCCCACGAAGGCAATATATGGTTGAATGAGCTTAAATCGGTCCGAAAGCACGGCAGAATGTTGCGTGTGCAAAGGATTGGCCGCAGGGCAAGATGCGGCAATGATATACATCACGAATGCTAGAAATGCTAGAAATAATGCATTCTAACGAAGTGCTAGAATCGGCATTTCTACAGACAAGAGACGTTCGATATTATATCTTCCAGAGCCATAATTTTCCACCTGAATGAGCTTACTCCGACGTAGAATCTGAACTATATACTGATATACAACGTCCTTCTAATGGGGACCGCAGGACGTAAGCCCTACTGCCCAGTGATTGTGCTGTTGGCTCAATAGCCAAAAGCTCCCGGGCTTCCCCGAATGAGTTTGGAGTACGGCTGGCAAACAACCCAGACATGACTATTCCAGTCTCTCCCAACTTTATGGGTAAGATCTCCAACTCAGATGAATTCTATCCAGGTTATTGTATCCTTATTAACCAGCCACCAAACTGAAATTAACGCCAAGTTTCGACAAATCTAAGTTCTCATCTCGTAAAACTTCGTAAACAACACACAGATAGTGTGGAGGCACCTGCTTCGATCAGTGTTGATGGGTCAACCTTAAGCATCTCAAAAAATTAGTATCGATGTGTGCGGATCGCTCCTGAGGTTCTGACTGGCTGAATAGGACAATTTGCCCTGCTCTGGTTGGGAAGATAGTCGTCCGGTGTCTTCACAGTCCATAAACGAATGAGAAAATAACTAAATTGAAACCATCAATGCTTTCAGTCGCATTGGTAGGTGGAAGTACTTGAACCAAAATTCTATGCATAAGCCTGTCAATCAGTTCAGCTAAGAAATTCTGACTAAGTGATGCGATAACATCAGTGAACACTAACAACTCCTTTTAGTTCTCGGTAAGAAATCAATGGCTGGAGGAAAAAAGTCAAAGAACGATAGTCTTTCTGTTTACCTGCCAAGACCGTCCGCTACCCATCCACAGCTGAAAGCACCAATGGCTGCGGCGATTACAAAAATACCAGACACTTGTCCATACGAGACTTCAAGCTGGTTTTCATCCAGCTTCCAGGCTTCCTTCATATAAGCTTTTATCAGCTGTTGAGGGAGAAAAGACCGATTAGCAAGCCAGAGACTTGTGGGTTCAGTAAAGTCATGCTTAATCGTTCAATGTGTTATAATATAAGTATGCTTTAGCCAAGCATATATAGACCTCATGCTGCTAATTTACTGGTTCTTGTTGTTGGAATTTTTTGGTCTTAAGTAGATCAACTGAATTTCAGAATCAGAAGTAGACACAAATGGATTCAAGACACTATGCAGCACTTCCTCAACCCACCACATAACCTGTGTGCAAAGTTTTTTTCGCTCGGACGTTTACTCTGCAGAATGCCCCTCAGGGAGCAGAAGCGGACGCGTATAACGAACTTGACTTGTTCATTTACAGTTCTCAAGTTATAAACATGCCAAGCCATCTATTCGATTCTTATGAGCAAAACATAATATAACCAATATAATTAGCTCCTTAGCCGGAGATTCGTCATTAATATTAATGAAAAGAGAGTAGTTGGCTCCTTAAGGGACGATTAGTTATTTGGTAATTTTAGTGTTTGGTAAATTATTCCCTTAGTAGCTAATTTCGGTCTGTTTTTACTTGGTAATTTATAAGTTTGGACTGGTTAGGTTTCCTCATTTCCCATTCATTTACCTACACAATCAGCGTTTGTTGCCTTATACAAAAGATTTCTGTTTTCGGTCGCGTTTACGTGTCATTGTGGTCCATATTGGCTGATGCCCGCTGTACATCGGGGTGATAATGATGTATAACTTAGCCACGTGGCTTAGTTAGCGTGCTCTAGTCTTTGACCTTCAATCAGAGACAATGAAACCACCATTTGTGAGTTCCTCAGGCCCTTTTTAAAATAGAGAATGGCTAGAAATCAGAGGTGTGAATGGCAGTAATGAATAGACACGATGAGAATCCCTATGCTTGCTTCCGGCTTACTAACTTCCTGCGATTGGGATTTTATTTTGAAACTGTGTGGCGAGGTTCATGAGTTTGAAATTTGTTATACCGTTACATCGCTAACCTGTTTACTGTGTTATGCTCCGCAAAAATGGTTAAACAACTGTCAGCGGTGGTCGAATAGTAAGCATAAGTTTTTATTAATATTACGTGTCCGCTTATTTAACTTATGTGGACGCGGTATATAAGAGTTACGTTTCTGGCCAAGCCTGAGAAAATGATTAAGTTTACAGTTGAGGTTAGCGTTCAGTATAAAGCTGGATACAGGGTTAGTATTGGGGTCATGGCTAAGCTTGCGGTTAGTTTGACATGACGCATCCCGTTCTACCCAATCCGACCTTTAAACAATAACCTCGGATAACTTGCTTTCCGTCCGTTTACGAACCCCTATTACGCATATTTCGAATTGCGCGTCTCTTCCGGTGCCTCGTAGGAGTAATAAAACAACCATCTGGCAGAAATGCGAGTTTTCTTGATGCTTTCAACAGATTCAGTTAACTGCCACATCCACCTGCCCTACCGATAAAACTAATGTTAAGATTCCGTATTACAGGAGTAATGGGGCCTTATTTTCTCGGTGGGTCTACATATTCAATCCTCGTCCAATTTTCATTGCAATAACAAAAGAAACAGGCAGATGTTTTGAACTTTAACTTCGATTCTATGCTGTATAAATGAAATAGGTCAAGTATTGGCATTTTTTCCTCAGTCGCGACGTAAAGCAATCTAAATTCAAAAACCCATTTAAAACACAATTTGTGCTCTACTGTTATGGCTGATTTGACGGAAAGATTTAAAAATGTTCATCATGATAAGTAATAAAACGGCTGACTCACGTCTCCTGGTAAATTGACTACTCCCAAGTTGTAGCCGATCAGAGAGGACGAGCCGAAACATACGGCGAAGGTTGTAAGAAAAAGTACGAAACCCTGTACAAAAGTGATTTTATTGTTTGGGCTAAATGAGACACTTACCATTCTTGGGCCCGCCTTGGGATAAGCTTTAGCAGGCCTACTACAGACGGAGGGTTTGATTGAATTTGAACAAAAAATCGATAGCCACCCTAATCGAATAAGCGGGCACGCGCAATGTCTGGAACTTTAAAAGCGTCTGTCTGGCCGCCAAAATCCCGTTTTCC